TTCCGTCGCTTCGATGGTGCTTCGATTGCACCTGCCCGAGCGTCCGCGCCATCGAACCGGACGTTGTCGATCCTCTGGGCCGATCGCGCACCGTCCTTCTTCTGCGGTTCCTGTCACAGTATGGCGGATCCAGACTCAGGGGAGACGACGCTGCACAGGTGGCCAACTCCAGACTCCCTGGCCCCCAAACGTGTTGGCATCTATCGGATGGATGCCACCCTGTCACTTCCGACGGCTTCCCCCGGCGGAGCCGCCGTGGACGTCTTGCTTCCGCCGCCCCTATGCCCCCCCCCCCCGGATTCCGCAGGAGAGAGACCAACTATCCTGGGATCCGACGTTGCGAAAATAGTGCAGCATCGCGGATCGCAGACCATCACGGCCAGAGCCTCAGACCCCAACTTTCTGCGGCAATTCTCGAGCAGGGTCGATTTCTGGTGGTCCTGGGGCCCGAAACCAGGCGAAACCGCCTGGTGTGGAAACGATTGCAACGCTAGGATCTCGGAATCCTTGCGTCCCTCCATGGCAAAGCCCTCTCAGGAGCGCCCAGGGCCACAGGGGAGACCAGCCCAGACCGCCGACGGTGTGGTTTTTCCGTGACGTGGACCGCCAGAAGCCTGGACCCCTTCCGGGGGACCGGATGAGGTCTGGCAAGGGCCCCCAGACGCTGGGAATAAGTGGCACCCTCCGTCGCGAAGTTTTCCGCACGCGTGGGGGTCTGGGAACGATGGCAGACAACGATCGAATTATGTCGGGCGTGTCCCCCTACAGGGGGATTTTCGACGACAAATGAAAAATACCCCCAAAATACCCCAAAAAGGTCAAACAAGTATGCAAAAAATAGTCCCCAGACTATTTTGGGACTATTTTTTTTGTGTGTTTTTGTGGGTATTTTTTTTATTTTATTTTTTTCGTCGACAATCCCCCCTGTAGGGGGACAGGCCCGACTCAACGATAGACAGGCCGGTCGGAGGGACGGCGGCCTGGCGGCGCCGCCTGGCCCACAGGGGCGGGCACCGGCCGCGAGGCTGCTGGGGAGGATCGAGGTCACCTTCGAGCTCTGCACGTCCTGGGCGCCGGCCCGCTGCGGGCACTCCCTCCCCGGCCTCCACCCCGCCGCCCCCGCCCCCGCCCCTAGAGGAGGAGGAGGAGGAGGAGGAGGAGGAGGAGGAGGAGGAGGAGGAGGAGGAGGAGGAGGAGGAGGAGGAGGAGGAGGAGGAGGAGGACCAGTGTCAACCCAAGAGTCATCAACGATGTTGGAATGAACCCTCCCTCCAAGCTCCCTCTTCATAGGCCCCTACAACGGTTCACTTCCATTGAGGGAACTGCTTCGTTGGAAGTCAACCGTTTGAAGATCCTGGGGCGTAGCAAAACATTGTTCTCGGGATTTCATGACCACGGATCAACCTGACTGCTGCGTCTTGACGATCCGGAATCGTGCAGTAGTCCCCTTTTTGGGGACTTCAACACCGCGAACCAACATAACTGTTGTACCCGCAAAATCCTGAATCCTTCCCACACACCATTTCTGGTACGTTGTTCCGGGGAATCCGTGAAACTCTGGCAAATGTTTAAAACGAATGTGCGCGGTGCTAAGGCGAGAGTCACACTTTGAAAAGGAACCGCCCTCAATCTGTGAAGCTCTTGCACACTTTTGAAGAAGACAAACTGAACGAATGCGCGCGGCGCTAAGGCGAGATTCACATTTTGAAAACGACCTGCCCTCAATCCGTGAAGCTCTTGCAAATCCCACCAGCCCTCTGGGCGTAGGAGATCTTTCTTTCCTCCTCCAAAGAAAACCCTCTTCCCTTCGGGGAGGGGGATCCCCCCCTCCCCTCCCTGGGCTTTTTCGGCGGCGGTCGCGAGGTGTCAGGGCGTCCGTTTTCGCTAAAGATGGCTCCAAAAAGGCCTCCAGTGCTCTAAAATGGCCTCCAAGATGGCTCAAGACAGCCGTAGATGGTTCAAGAAAGCTTCCGACATGCCTCCAAGAAGCCCCAAGAGGGCCACAAGACCGTTCCAGGTGCTCTTGGAGACTGCTCAGGACTCAAAAACCAAAGGAAAACGTACGATGTTTACCTCCTGGCCGTTTCTCATCCGATGCGCGTTTGAGGTCCCAAGATGGCCCCAAGATGGCTCAAAAGGCCCCAAGAGGACCCCAGGAGGCCCCCAAGACGACCCCGAGAGCGCCCAAGCTCGCTCCAAGAGCGCCCCAAGAGGGCTCCAAGAGGAGGTTCTGGAGGCCCCAGAGGGGGGGGGCGCCTAGATCGGGACCTCCCCTCCTTTGATCGATAGCCTCGAAGATGGCCCCAAGAGGCGCTCCAGGGCTTCCAAGAGAGCCCCAAGAGAGCCCCAAGAGGTCTCCAAGAGGACACCAAAAGGGTCCCAAGACGGCCCCAAGAGGGTCCCAAGACCCCCAAAAGAGCCCGAAGATAGTTCCAAGATGCGATTTTGAGGTCTCCTGAGGGGGGGAGGGGGGGGGGGCGACATCGAGGACCCCTTCTTATTTGACCGATGCTCTCCAAAATGTCGCCAAGATGCCCTTAAGGGCCCCCGAGAGGCTCCAAAGAGGGTTCAGGACCCAAGACCTGGCAAAAGAGCCCCAAGAGGAACCGAAGAGCCCGAGGAAGCATCATTACCAGCAGCGGCAGCAGCAGCAGCAGCAGCACCACCACCACCAGCGCCACCAGCAGCAGATCCAGCAGCAGCACCAGCTGCAGCAGCACCAGCAGCAGCAGCACCAGCAGCAGCAGCAGTACCAGAAGTACCAGCACCAACAGCAGCAGCACCACCTCCACCAGCATCAACAACAGCAGCAGCACCGCCACCACCAGCACCACCAGCAGCAGCACCGGCAGCAGCAGCACCATAAGCAGAAGCACCAGCAGCACCAGCACCACAAGTACCGACACCAACAGCACTGTCCTGGTGAGGACGCAGGGAGCTGTCTTTTCGCCTTACCCATGCTAGTTTTTCTGCACGGGAGAGTTCATATCGCTCCTCTTTGCACGCCGAAAGGTTGGTGTCAGAAAGTCCATGTAGGCTTATACCCGATATCCCAATAACCTAACTCGCGTAGGTGCGAGAGTACCCTTCCATTGAACAGGGAGTATGATAAGACAGCTGTTCAGGCCCGCGTGCAAGTGTGTGAAACTGAACGTCTTCAGTAGTCGATCTGAGCACATCCCTTTTGGCGGAATGTGCTCTTGTTTACATCGCAGAGTTGGTGTGGGCATGGGTGTGCTTGTTCAGCTCCACCTCCTGAATCTAGACATTCTCCCACTCCTAGATCTAGACGCTCCTTCCTCGATCTCCGCCCTTTTCTCTTTGGCGCCCTCTGCGACCCGCATCCACGCATCCACCTCCGAGCCTCCCTCCACTACCTCCTTCGTCTGGCAGGGGGCGGAGCATGGAGACGTAGCGTCAGGGGGATACTGTGGACACGAGGTGATAGACGAGACGCGTAGGTGGACCCAGGCCCCTGACGCCGTGCTTTTTCACAACGCTGGCCTCCAAAGATCTCGACTCCACCCTGGGAGCCTGTGTCTCGCGCTAGATCGTACCAAGGCCGTTTGTGACGATCCCGTCCGGGACGGGCCCCAGCCCAGCGTGAGAAAATGTAAACGACGCAGTCTCGATGTTTGGAGGTTTTGGGAGGAAGAGAATGATGATGACGATGACGATGACGATGACGATGACGATGACGATGACGATGATGATGATGATGATGATGATGATGATGATGATGATGATGATGATGATGATGATGATGATGATGATGACGATGACGACGACGCTGACGATGACGATGATCTCGATGCTGATGATGACGATGATGGTGTTGATATTGATGATGGAGGTGATGGCGATGGTGATGGTAATGGTGATGGTGATGGTGATGATGATGGTGTTGATGATGGTTATGGCGATGATGATGACGATGACGATGATGATGATGATGTTGAAGATGATGACGGTGATGATGGTGATGATGTTGGAGATGATGATGATGACGACGATGATGATGGTGATGATGATGGTGATGATGATAATGATGATGATGATGATGATGATGGTGATGGTGGTGGTGATGCTGATGCTGCTGATGATGGCGATGATGATGGTGAGGATGATGAAACTGACGATAATGATGTTGATGATGAAAATGATGAGGATGCAAATGATGATGATGAGGATTATGCCGGTGTTGTTGATGATGAGGATGATCCTGTTGTTGATGATGATGATGTCGATGTTGATGATTATGATGATGATGGTGATGGTAGTGATGATGATGCTGCTGATGATGATGGCGATGGTGGTGATAGTGATGACGATGAGGAGCAGGAGGAGGAGGAGGAGGAGGAGGAGAAGGAGGAGGAGAATAAGGGCGGCGACGTCTGCAAGTCCTGCCACGTTCAGACGCTTGCGGCCCGTGTCCATAAAGTCTGCTGTAAGAGGCAAGCCTTTACTGTCACGCCCAGGTAGCGATGAAACGCGACCCAGACATACCCTGGACCCCAAGCGGCTTTCACACTGAATGACTATTACACGTCGAACTCAGCAGAAGTGGACGTAAAAAATGCATTGAATAGGCGGGGTGGTGGCAGTGGGCTGTGCAAAACCAATGGAAGAAACCACTCCCCGGATTGCGACATGGAACGCTTGAGGTGTAAGGTAAGGAGCGCGTAGTAAACAGCATAGACGAAACTGCGCGGTAGTAGAATTGAGCAGACGCCAACCAAACATTGAACTACAGCGCAACCACATGACAGAATAGCTGAACATAATTCGGCCGAGCGAAGAGAACAGCACTTCACGATCCGAAATACATCATATCAGAATGGGCCGCACCTCGACCGACACAGAACGCTCCCCACATGGTGCATGACCGCGGCCAGATGCAGTGATTCATTGCATGGAGAAAAATCGTTACCGTTGGCTCCTGTCGCGTCCAAGTGGAAACTGGTGTCTGACGCCAAGGGGCCAATTCATGGTTAGCTGACTCAGGCCGCCGGAGGCCTTTGACCTTGAGCGCCCACGCAGGCGTCCACGCGGCGTGAACCCGCCGTACAGATGTGACAGGCAGCCGAGCCTATGCAGTGGCGAATGTGTTGAACGTTGAACTTCAGACACGGGCTCGTCTGACAACTGCGAGAATGTAAACTATACGCGTCCTCGTAGTCAAGCTGTAATCTCTTGACGCGCCGCTCCAATTGCACGCTCATCTGCAGCTGCTTCCGGACGAACAGGTGGTGCATGCGGCGAATCCTGCGCTTGCACCTCATGTCGACCTCGGGTTCTTGGCGCGCAGAAGAAAATTGGGGAACATATGTCCTACATACAGCTCACTTACCCATCGGTCGGAAGAAGTAGGTAGAAACATAAAGTAGGAAGGCGTTGGCAATAGATTGGGTTTCCGCACGCCTCCTGAAGAGGAAGGAAGAGGGAAAACCACTCGACTCTTGAAGTAGGAAGGCGCTGAAAGTAGATTGGAATCTGGGAATCCAAAAATACCTACTTTCAACGACCGATGGGTATATGTGGTCCGTCTCGTGGCAAGGAAGACATTTCCAACCCGTCTGGCGCTGTTGCCTGGACCGGAGCTAGCCGCGCTGGCGGTGGCTCGTGGCTCCCCGGGCACCAGCTGGCGTATCTTCGAGCGCGTTGCAGCCAACGCTGCAATTCCTTGCGAGGCGGGGATTGATCCATGTCCACCGCTTGGGGAACCAATGTCCTGGGACCCATCTACACACATATATACATATATATATATATATATACACATACATGCATACACACATCGTAGTTCTCTTTTCGATATTTCCATAATCTGGGACCATGCGATCCCCCCCCTAAGCGGGACCCCTGCGGATCCTTGGCCCCAGGAGCATCCTGGACGCCCTTGCAGACGGTCCCCTGTGCTTTCCGGGGCTCCTGAAGCCCCTGCTGGGCCTGAGCAATGGGCCCAAGTCGGTCAGGAGGGCGGCCAAACGGCCCCGCGAGAGCCCACAGAGGCCCCAGACACCCACCATACGCCCGATGACAACCCAAAGAAGACCCCCAAGAGGCACTCGAAACGTCAAAAACATTGATGTCCCATGGTTTTGGTATGATTTTGGGAATGCTCAGTTCTTCGGTCTTCCGTGCGTCAGAGACCGCCCAGGAGGCCAGAGAATCGCCCCAAATTTAACCAAGAGGGCTTCCAGGCATGCCAAGATGAGCCCCACGTCGGCCCAACAGGGCCCCAAGATGGCCCGAAGAAAGCCCCATGACGGCCCAAGATGGCCCCAAGACGCCTTTTGTGGCTGCAGGCGACAGGCTTCACGATGCCTCGACGCCCTCGGCCGGAGGCCGAGAAAATAGTCTAGGGTGAAGAAGGAACCGGCCAAGAATCGCCTAGGGCGAAGCCTGGCCGGAGTCCGTACGAAGCAACAAGCAAACTGTTGCTAAAGACTGCTGCTGTATTAAGCATGTGGGCCCCAAGACGCCTCCCGAATCATTCCAAGTCGTGACCTGGTCGTTCAGGGAGACCGCGGTTGGAATCAGGGTGGCCTGGGGAAGCCCACAGAGGCCCCGAGAAGACGCCCAGGAGTCTTCCAGAAGGCCCCAACAAGCCCCTGAAAACCTCCGTGAGGCTTACAAGAGGCTCTCCTAGGATGAGCCTCAGAAAAAAGAGCTGAGGATGGGGGCGAATTCGCAGAATTAGGGCGAGAATGAGGAAAAGGACGAGGACATATGAGGGAAGGAAACGAATAACATGTTTACAACGACGATGCCAGAAAAGGCAACAACGAATTATCGCTAAGTTTTCCGTTTTACCAAATTGCCCTCCTGCCTGCAAGCCAAACTTCAAGGACCAAAATGCATGGCGTGAAGCGCCAATGCAATCTTATATAGAGATTCCCATTCATGTATTTTTATTACCCGGGACCCCCCATCGAAATTGGACCCCCCGAATCCTGGGCCCCCAGGACCCTCTGAACCCCCCGGATCCATGGTCCCAGGGACCCCCTGGACGCCCCTGCAGAGGGCTCCACAGGCGTTTCAGAGCTCCTGGAAGCCCGTGCTGGGCCCAGGCAACGGGCCCAAATCGGTCAGGAGGGCGGCCGAACGCCCCCGCGAGGGCCCCAAGAGGCCCCAGACACCCACCAGACGCCTGAAGACGACCCAATGAAGACCCCCAAGAGGATTCAAATAGTGATTTTCCAAAGTCCTTGCATAATTTCGGGAATGCGCTGTTCTTCGGTCTTGTGGGCGTCCGAGACTCGCCCCCAAACCGTCCGAAAGGGTTTCCAGGCAACCCAAGAGAGCCCCAAGACGGCACAACAAGGTTCCAAGATGGCCTAAGAGAGCCCCATGACGGCCCAAGATGGTCCCAAGACGTCCTCCGAAGCGTTCCAAATCGTGACCCAATCGTTCAAGGAGACCGCGGTTGGAGGCAGGATGGCCCGGGGAGGCCCCCCAAGGCCCCCAGAAGACGACCAGGAGGCCTCCAGAAGGCCTTGAGAAAGCCTGAAAAAACTTCCGTGGGGCCTCCAGAGGCTCCCCGAGGAGGAGCCTCCGCAAAAAGAGCTGAGGAGGATGGGGAAGAATTCGCAGGGCAGAACGAGAATTAAGTAAAAGAGACATAGACCCAAGATAACGATTAACATAATTATAACGGCGATGCCGGAAAAGGTAACAAGGCGTTATCGCTAAATTGTCTGTTTGACCTTCCTGCCATTCCGCCTGCAAGCCAAACTTCAAGGACCAAGGTGCATGGCGCGAAGCGCCAATGCAGCCTTCTACATATATATATATATATATATACACACAGAGGGGGGGGGGCCTGGGGCCAAAACACGTAGATCTCCATATCCTCCCGCCGATGTCCAGCAAGATCGGTTCCCCAGGCGGCGGATCAGAGTGAGGCAGCTGAACCGAACGGTCATTCACTGTCCCTGGGTGCGTGGCTGAAGTGGAATTCCGCGATGAGGATTCTCGTTGAACTCTCATTCTTGAAGAATAATTACTGTGGATCCCCCCCACCGGTGCACATTGATTTTTTTTGATTGAAGTGCCACCCCCGGGGCTCGCACCTGGTTTTTTCTCAAGGAAAATCTTCCTGCTCAAACTGTGCCCCTGCCCCCCAAGCTACAACAACAACGGCTCCCGCCTGAGACTTCCTCGATTTTTACTCAGGACCCCCGCTCCAGCCTGAGACTTCCGCGCAACTTACTCAGGAAAGGCGCTCCCGTCTGAGACTTCCTCGCATTGTAATCAAGACCCCCGCTCCCGCCTGAGACTTCCGTGCAATTTACGTGGGAACGGCGCTCCCGCCTGAGACTTCTTCAAATTTTACTCAGGACCCCCGCTCCTGCCTGACATTTCCGCGCAATTGACTCAAGAACGGCGCTCCCGCCTGAGACTTCCTCGCAATTTAGTGAGGACCCCCGCTCCCGCCTGAGACTTCCGTGCAATTTGCTCAGGAACGGCGCTCCCGCTTGAGACTTCCTCGCAACTTAGTCAGGGCCCCCGCTTCCGCCAGAGATTTCCTCACAATGTACTCAGGACTGCGCTCTCGCGTGCGACGTCCTCACAAATTATTCTGGAATTGCGTTTCGGCGCTCAGGAACCACGCACGCGCCAAGGACGCCTTCACAACGTGGTATCTTCCCTCTTCCTTCGTCCTTCCCCCTCCCCTTCCTCCCACTCTCCCTCGTTCTTCCCCTCCTCCTCTTGCAGGGCCCGCGCCAATTCCAATGGCGGGCAGAGAGATGTACGCCCCCGAAGGATTGTCCGCCCGTTCCGGTTTGCCCGTACGTCTAAGCCCGCCGGCCCCAGCAAAGAGAAATAATCCCCCCGAAAGGGGTGTGATCGAAGACGAAGAGGGCGGGTATCGAGGGTGTAGGGTATACGTGTTGAATGACTCGCGGGCAAGTAAGAGCGTACAGCCTTAAAATGGTTGTTGTTGTTGTTGTTGAACATTATTACTTCTAAAGAATAATTATTGTTGGGGCCCCTGGTGCACGACCCCCCCACCGCGCCTAGGCCGCAGCCTCATTTTCATCATTTTCGTGAGGAAGTCTCAGGCAAAACGGGGTGGTCCGGATCCGGTTGTGTTGTTACGATCGGTTTTCCCTTGCAAAAAAAAAAAAGCTAAAGTGGACATTTCTTGTTCTAACATAACCAAACTTCAAGAATCCCTTGCAAAAAATAAAGGTAAAGTGGACATTCGCGCGCGCAAGACGAAATCCTTCCAAAACCTTAGTTTTCGTAGCGATTTTAACATAAAAACATCAAAAAACCAATGGTTTTTCAAAAAAAAAAATTGTCAAAATTTCATCCCGCGCGCTCTTGCGGATTCGTAGGAAACCCAACACTTTTTAAACATTTCTGTCAAACGGGCTTTTGCGAGCAACTTTTTCGAACTTCTGCAACAACGGTTGCGCACCTGCCAGGGCCATCATCCCTGTCAAATAATACCATGCGGGACACATTCGTTTTTTCTTCGCGCGCGCACGCCGTCGTCGTCGGCCGCGGGGCCCTGAATAGTAGCCACGGTCGTCCGCATGCCACGAAGTGAAGTGTCCGAACGTCATAGGGCGGGAAGCTGGGTGTGGGTGGTGGCGAAGAGTCGTTTGGAAATTTGGTAGAGCTTGAACCGGCCCCCCCACAAAGTGGGGGTATTGCCCGCCTCCTATGAAAACCCTGGCACTGGTGAGAACGGAGTGTCCCCACGTGCTAGTAATTGTTGTTGTTGTTGTTGTTGTTGTTGAACATTATTACTTCTAAAGAATAATTATTGTTGGGACCCCTGGTGCACGACCCCCCCGCCGCGCCTAGGCCGCAGCCACATTTTCATCATTTTCGTGAGGAAGTCTCAGGCAAAACGATTGGTCCGGATCCGGTTGTTTTGTTGTAATCCGTTTTCCCTTGCAAAAAACACTATAAAATGAAAATTCTTGTTCTTACTTGATCAAATTGCAAGAATCCCTTGCAAAAAATAAGGTAAAGTGGACATTCGTGCGCGCAAGACGAAATCCTTCCAAAACCTTAGGTTTCGTAGCGATTTTAACATAAAAACATCAAAAACCCAATGGTTTTTTAAGAAAAAATTGTCAAAATGTCCTTCCGCGCGCGCTGTCCGAATCCCACAAAACCAATGGTTTTTCAACATTTATGTTACATGAGCTCGCGCGAGCTATTTTTTCTTGTTCTAACATAATCAAATTTCAATAATCCCTTGCAAAAAATAAGGTAAAGTGGACATTCGCGCGCGCAAGACGAAATCCTTCCAGAACCTTAGGTT